ACCTTCTCGTGGTGTTGGCTGTTTTAACTAAGTGGGAACCGTCCATCAGATATAGTCTATTTCTTGCCCTGCCATTATTATTCTACAAGTTAATTGTGGAGTGAGAATTTCATAATGTTTTCTATGAAATCTTCAAAATATAGTGATAAAAAATTTGCAACTACTACAAAATCGGCTCGCGGAGCGAGTCGAATGTCACTCGCGCAGCGAGTCGAATGTCACTCGCGCAGCGAGTCGAATGTCACTCGCGCAGCGAGTCGAATGTCACTCGCGCAGCGAGTGACCGGGGGTCCAGGGGGCGTAGCCCCCGGCTAGACGTGAACGGCTAGTATAGCATGTCTCTCTAACACAAAATAAAGCGTCCATCGAATCACCTTAAGACTCGGAAAAAGTGTCACTAATTAATATTTTGCTTGCAGGCGTACTGTTTTGACGGCACTTGCCGCACTCGCTCTGATCAGTGTCGCTCACTATGGGGTCCATCTGGCAACCAGTCTGATCCAAAATGCTTTGATATGAACATGCGAGGAACAAAACATGGAAACTGTGGTTATAATCTCCAAAATAAAACTTTCGTTGCTTGTAGCCAAGAGTAAGTATCACTGTTGGAATTTTGTTAACTTTAATTTTGAGACCATAAAAATTAAAATATAAAAAACCAGAACTTTCAAATAATGGGCCTCTAGACAAGGTATGAACTAGAAACAAACTTCACTTATTTTTTCTTCACAGTTGCACATAGAAAACGATTCATGTGACTGGAAGTATGAAAATCAACTTTTGAATGAGATACTCACAAGTATTTTTAACACAGATCTAATGAAAGTTAGATTATACAAATGATGTCATTTGTATTGCTGCCATTTAACCAATGTCAATTGTAAACTCTTGTATTTTGTTCAAGAGTAGCAGGGGTGCAGAAAGTTTTTAGCCTTCCCCAAAATGTGATGTTTTGCCATAATCAGGTTTTTACATAAAACAATGCTCTCAAGAGTTTCCTTTCGCCTCGGTAAGACGCTTGAAAGGCATCCAACACAGGAAACAATGTGCTTCTCAGTTTTCTACCCTAAATTGATCGAAATGGGTTGGGAAAAAAAACTTTCCTCAGTTATTCTCATGCGAGCAGCCGTGTGATCATGATCACCTGATCATAACAATCAATAACATTCCACACCCTTGAGGAGTCATTTCCAGACTTTCCGCTGTGCGATTTTTTTCTCGGTGCAATTCTTAAGAGAAAACATGTGGCGATTACTTTAATTCATACCTTGTCTAGAGGCCCTGTAATTTTCTTGTAGTAGGATCAGAGCAGTGACAAAATAGACATAGTTTTGCAGATCAATTTATTTGAAAGATTTTTGATATTTTGATGTTTGAGGTTTCATTAAAAGCAATTGCTAAATCAGGCACCTTGATCTCGTACACAATGAATTTTTTTTATTTAGATCAAACTATAGATGAGATTAAGGGAGGATGTTTTTTTCTTTTTTGTCGAAGAAAATTCCTCAAAGTTGATAAATCGAAATTCATCAAGTCACCTGTTAAACCCCTCTTTCAAACTTTTAGTTAATGTAAAATCTTCTCTTTCAAAAGTTTTTACTGGAAACTGAAGAGAAATATGTCTCATAATGTAATTTTTACTGTAAGTACATTACTTCTACCCATTAATAGAATACGTCAACAGAAATCATTAACTCCTTCTTTACATCCAGGAATATCGAGTGTGGAATGCTGCACTGTCAGCATCTGAACGAGAGGCTTGAATTCGGAATGGAATCTGTTGCCATCCTATCTCATTCGTACTTCAATAATGAGGGAATTATCATCCCTTGTCGCTCAGCGATTGTGGACTTGGGTTTAACGGAGGTTGATCCAGGATTAGCGCCAAATGGAGCCAAGTGTGGCAGTGGCAAAACAGAAAAGGTGAGGTATTTAGATGTTACCTTGCTTTATTGTCTTAATGGACCACTAGACAAGGTACGAATTTCAGCATTCTGATACATGCTTCTTCACCAAAATTTCACGTAGAACACGATGCGCACAACGAAAATAACCGAAATCAACTCCTTACAAAGATATGTATTGATTCTTGATGCGTGAATTCAAACCACCCGCTCATGAAAACTCAATGCTCTACGTGATTCACATCGCGCGCTAAACGTTTATCGTGACAGTCTCTGCGATATAAAAATCTGGCAACCTCAATCTTGACGCTTTGGCTCAGCTAAAGCAAATTGCTTATAGTTTGGACAACGCATGGTGGGAAATGAACATTGCTCGATAGAGAAGATTGCCGAAACCGTTGTAGTGCGAGATTTGACTCACGTAGAGCTTTGAGTTTCTGGAGAGCGGGCACTTCAAATTTCTCGTGACCAATGTGAAATAAAAACGTTAATATCTTCTTTAGGAGTTGGTTTCAGTAATTTTCCTTGCGCGAATCGTGTTTTACGTGAAATTCAGGTTAAGAAACATGTATCAGAATCCTTTAACTTGTACCTTGTCTAGTGGTCCATTGAATCGTTCAGTCTCAAAAAGGCTCAGGACCAATTCGTTTTTTTCCTCATTTTCGGTTCAAAGTATAGGAAAATTTCTGAAACAACCACAATCCAATTTAAAATTGCAATCTCCTCTAAAATTCGTTTTTCTCACCTTTGAGATTTAGGTTGGGTCAATTAAAACAGTTTTTACAGTTTTTCTTGAATATATTCTCTGCGCTTAAGTCTTTTTGAGATAGTCTGATTCAATTTTGTTAAAGAGTTTCACTAAAAGTTTGCAGCAATGAGCAAACATTCTCTTTTAAGCAACTGGAAAATAGAGACATTCATGGAAATTTTAACTGTGTATGTAGTGTATTAATTTGGATGTTATGAGTTTGGAACGTTTCAAACAAATCTCCATCAATTTTTTTTTTTTTTAAATATATCAAATCGTCTCCATCTTCTATGGTACCTATAGTTGATAAAAGGTTGGTAAAGGTGAAAATTAAATTTTTCAGTGTATTACATTTAGGTAACAAAATTTCATAAAAAAATGTTGAAACTACCACAAGAACTACAGATAAATGTCTTGTATCTATCTGTATGAATTAAATGAAAGGTCGAGGGTATTAAGCAACGAAGCAAAGTTAGATAATACAAATTTTCTTGAAGAACAGGAATTATGGAATCTATGGAATCTAGTCTACTTTTGTATCTCATCGTTGTTTCAGCAATCACTTGTCTAACCATGGGTACCCCCAATTCCCTCCGTATATTTCAAATCCTGAAGCTTTTTTCCAATGTTTACAGATGTGTGTCCATCAAAGATGTGTTCCTGTAGCAGATGTACTGGCCGCAACTCCGGATATTTGCCGTGAAGGCTGTAACGGCCAAGGTGTTTGCAATAACAAAGGTCATTGCCATTGCAACGACGGCTTTGCCCCTCCATTCTGCGACTATCCTGGTCTCGGTGGTAGTGTTGATAGTGGACCAGCCTCAGATCCCAATGGTAAGTATCAACGCAAGCCACTGCATTTACTGGCTGCAGGCCATCGGTGGATCCAGCAAATTGGCAACATTGTCTTTTCTCCATTTAAACCTATGGAAATGAATTGATTCTTGGAGGGGCCAGATACTCCGACATGGTTTAAATGGAGGAGATCTGGTGTTGCCAAATTGCTGTATCCGCCTCTGCCGTAGGCTGATTATTAAAATTGTTAGACGTAGAGATAGACATAAAAGATAAAGGGAATATGTGGGACGTGGGACGATCCTATCAGTGGAAAATTTTAAAATGATGGCAATTTAATCAAGAAAGTTTTTCACATCGGTAAAATTGATTTACTAAAATATATTCCAACTTAAAAATAAATGAAAAGAATGGATTCTTTTAATGAAATGATTTGAGAGAAAATTGAGACTCCTTGAATTCATCAACCCATTGATTTAAACTGACGGCTCCCAGTCGTCTGCGCTGCGCTGGGCCAGATCTGAAGAAACGGTTGAGAGCCGTCCGTCGATTGTTTTTGGTATTTCGGCGATTCTCCAGTAGATTGCGTTCTCATCAATGTTCATATGAGTAGCGTGACCACCCTACGACTTATTGTGTACGGTAATTTCTTGTTTTGTCACAGTATTTTCATATTATTGTGGGTTCGAACTTGAAATAATCTCAAAATTGTCTGATTTTTGCTAATTTTGCGGTTTTCGCGACTTTGACAGCAATAAACCACATTCAAAAAATCATTTTGTTTAAAGTTTTCACCACTTTTCTCAAACATTGTACGGTGAATACTTATTGTATCTACTCTTACCCTCCGAGAAGGAATTTTTTGATTATTTTTAAGTGTTCTAAAGTTACTGATCGTCAAAGTAAATTGTAATTCCTGGCCCGGTGGGGTCAAATTAAATCATAAATCAATGGGTTAAGATTTTTCTATGCAAATTTTCCAATATGAATGGGATGTTATGTTTTTCTCCAATTCAGCGTTAATTTTATTCAATTTCAATCCCAATTACAATCTATTCAAATTGTACTCTTTCTGTTTCAGCATGGCATGCTCTCCGGACATTCATCTACTTTGTTTTCTTCCTTCTGCTCCCATTGGCATCAGTTGTCATGCTCTTCATGTATTACGTCCGTAATCGGCAATGCTGGGCCAAAAAACCTCACATCGTCTCATCCGCCAAGTACGTATCAATCCCCTCCAAAATTCTCTGCACCCTGAAGGACTGTTTTGCCAAATGTGGCAGTGCAGATAAAAAACTAATCACCCAAAAAAAAAATAGTGAGAGATCAGAAAACCCTGATTCTAGCGACCCTAGCTCTCTTCCCTCTAACAATGAAATCAGTGAAAATAAACAGAAAGTTGTTACGCACAATAAATCCCAGGCTGCAGAAGGTAAATCTGAAGTTTGCAAAAGTTTCATTGCTGCAAAAAAGCTTGAATGGAATGATTCGTTATCTCTAAATGAGAGCAAAATTCACGAATTAGGAGAGTCTCCAGTATCTTTGCGAGGTGTTAGGTCGTTTGTAAAAAAGTTGGAGTCTGATCCATGCACAGTAACACTTAATCGTAAGCTAGGACCTTCCCAAAACCTTGATGGTTTCAGTTCCTTAAAAACAGAAAAGTCCTTCAAACGATCAACAGGTGTTAAAATAAAAAGGCCAGCACCTGGTGTTCCAACTGCAAAGGTATCAGGTGAAACAAAAAAATCCACAAAAAATGAGGCGTCATCGCCGGAAAAAAATTCTGAGCCAATTTATGCAGTTATTAGCGAGAGTCGGAAAAAAGAAAACAATGAAGTTGAGACAGAAGAGTTTGTCTACGAAAATATCTATGAAGAGATATCCGAGCCTGATCCTGCTCAGCAAGAACTTGTCTACGCAAATGATTCAGTTGTAAAAAGTAATTCAAATTTTGCCTGCTACAAAAGCCCGCCTCTTAAAAGACACTCTTCTGTGAATCATAGCTGTTCTTTTAAAGACAGGTCTTCATCAAATAGCACACAACAGAGTTCTTTATCCAAAAATGAACCATGTCTGATGTCAAACATATACAGTGAAGTTACCAACAAGACAAAAATAGCTGGGAAGGGTGAAATTGATAGGTGTAAAAACCTGCCAAATAGGCAGGAGTCGAATTCTTTGGAACTTGACTTACAGGGTTGTGTACCTGCACCTAAAGTGAAGAGTTCTTTTCTGTCAAGTACAGAACATAAACCTGAGATTCTGTGCGATGAAGATCATCAACGCGAGGGTACAACAGAATTAAACTTAGAATTAGTACGAAAAAATCTGCGCAAAACCGCAGAAAATAAGTTTTCAACTCAAGATTTCCCTTTGAAAAACAATTGCCCAGGTTCTGCACTTAGTTTTGTAAAACAGAACTTCTCATCCATTGACGAATGTCAGCCCATACCTGAACCAGATTCAAAGGCTGTTAGGAAAGCTGAAATAGTAAAAAAAGGACTAGTATCCACTACAAATGATCAAGTAAACAAATTTTTGAAGAAAGGAGTCTGGGTTAGTTCTTCTGAGAGTGCATTGGATGACTCCTAACCAATATCTCATTTTTTAAAATAATTTTTATTTATGATTGTAAGAACTTAGAATTGACTATATACTCTTTTGTGTGTGAGGGTGAGAGGGTGTGTGTGTATAAGAAAACTGCGTTCCGCAGACAGTGAGTAAATCTTAAAGTGAACATTTAATGATGTTGCAGTTTTGGCTAAGCTCACTGTTTGGCGAACTGAGACTTTTTTTATGTAATGTCCCCATTATTACACTCTTAAAATTGTATTTATCTGTCCTTTTGTCTGGGCCTTGCATTTATGTTCTGTTCCCACTAGGGAGCATTATTTGTTGAGATTTTGAAATTTCGCCTCCGTTTCTCAAGTTACTTTACTTTTTTTGCTTGCCTCTTTTTTCATAGATTTTTCAATTTCCTCCTCTTGTCTTTTTTATTTTATCATGCCTTGCTATCTACTTTCTCCCAACTTTTCCTTCTCTTCTACTTTCGTTTTTAAAACATCTTCCTAACATATTTATTGCCTGTAAATGAACTTATTCTACTACTACTTTTACTACTTTTACTACTTCTACTACTACTACTACTACTACTACTACTACTACTACTACTACTACTACTACTACTATTTGTCTTTTCAATATATTATTCTAATTCCTCTTCTTCTTATCTTTTTCATCTTATTGTGCCTCTCTATCCTCGTAATTTTTCCATCTCTCTCTTCTTCTTTTGTTTTTTAAACATATTTATAACATATGTATTGCTTGTTACACATGCTCCTGTGTCTTTTTATAAAATGTAAATATCGCTTTACACGTTGCTTTTCTTTTTCCACAGCTCTGTGGAGAAAAAGCCGCGCTTGTCACCAGATAGGAGTCGCGCAAACCATGAACCCAACTTTGGTCAGTCACTGCTCAACCAAAATAACCTCCAGTCAGCCTCAAACAATCCGATCGTGGCTTCGCTACAAAATAATCTCATCGGTCATTTGAAAGGGTTCAAAATCACACCATTGCAAGTAAAAAAGTGTGAGTCATCTGTCACGCTCGTCCCGACACGCCCGGCACCCCAGCCTTACAAAACTTCCATCTCTGGTGTTAGTTCAGAGGTCGTAAACTCTTACAAGCCGCCCACAAACCCAATCCGAGCTGCACCTAAAGTACCCATGCCCATAACATCAGTGCCGCTGAAGAGTGAGCCTCCAGCACTTCCACCTGCAAATGCGACACAAAATGAAGCAAAGCCGCTCATCAGCTCTCCAGTTCTAGATTCCACAACAGCATGTAATGTTAAAGAACTTGTCTCTTCGGCCCCAACTCGGCCAGCTCCTAGCCTTCCTCCAGCCAACCTCTCGGGCGAAGATTTCAATCGATCGAAATCCCAAAATTCCACCCTGACGCGCATTGCATCATTCATTTCGCGCAGTCAAAAGCCTGATGTTCCGGCAAAACCGAAGCTGGACCGCGACACGTTGCGCAGCATCAAAATCTCCGACCCCATCCCGCAAACAAACATCGAGTTGCCGATGAAGTCGCTTACAATAGTTGCGGACAAGCCGAACATTCATCGTGCGCATAGCTTCCGTCAAAACACAGATGCCAAGAAGCGACCTCAGATCCAATCCTTCGGATCAATGCGAGTGCCCAATAATAGGCGGCCGCAGAGTATTCCAGCCTGCACGCGACCCACGTCTCCACCACCGCGACCTCCGCCACCAATCCAGGGAGTGCCTGGCTATCAGGAACCGTCAAAACCTCAAAACACGTACGATGATTGCTTGAATCTAATGAACAGTGAAGTTGCCTCAGTCTCTAACCCGGCTGACAATATTTATGCAGTAATTGAAGAGTCACCGACCGACCGGCGGGAACGCAAAGAAATTATTTTACCAACCAAAAAGAATTTCAGTGGTGATGGTTCAACAGAAAGCTCAGCAACTGAGTCTATGGGGCTCTTAGATGAAATCGTCTCGGAAATGGAAGCTCGCAATACTGAATCAATCTATTCCACTGGAACATGGAAGAAGTATCGTGATGTCGATAGCATATCATCTGTGACAAATTTCTCTAGTGTCTCAAATGATGTGGATCAGCTGTACGCAAATATACCTCCTAAAAGTGAAGAAATTTACTCTAATTTACCAAAATCCTCCAACAGCTCCACAACTAGCTCAGGATACCTGAGTCCTATTACCGCCAAAAATAAATTCGGTCTAAAACGACCGCCAGATGACGAGGCGAAGCAAATTAAAATGCCAACAATCACTGCACCCAGTTATAAGCCATTAAGCCAGCTGCACAGAGATAATGCTCTGTCAGCCGCGTTGGGTGCTGATTTCTCGGCTGTGCACAATAGTACAAAGTTTCCTGTCGATGCAAGTAAAAACTCGTCGAAAGCTACACCTAGTGTGACCCTGACGCTCAAAGAGGCAGGGGCTAAACCAGTGCTTCCAAGTAACTTTACAGTAGTTAATAGTCTCTCTAAAATTAATTCTAATTCTAGTCACCCACTTAGTGATAAGCCAGCGCAGCGGGCCAAACTAAAGCTGGAAAGAAACTCCAGCGATAGTTCAGGGAGCTACGCAAAGCCAGACTTAGTTTCAAGTTGTGATATTCAAAGCACGGATAAACCTCCGGATGTTTTGAACAGTAAGCCAGCTTCAGGGCTTGCAACTAAGAAAATAGTCGGCAAGCAACCTCTACCTGCACCGAAGCCCACAAATTTACCTCCTAGGAAGAATATTGTTAGTAATTCATTTAAAAATTCAAAAAACTTAGGTAAAAAACCCACAGATTCTAAAGTCAATTCTAGGGTGGATAGTGTTTCACATGTTGCTAGTTTGCAGAAAAAATTTGAGTCAAATGTACCTTAGCTGTGAATATCATTAATGGTGGTTTTTAGACTGTCTCCTGATAAGGGTTCATCTCTTTATGCAAGTGTTCATATGGCGTCGATGTATTCATTACATCTTAGAGAGTATTTTTTCAAATTATTATTTTGTCATTATCAATTTAATTTCATAAACGTGTCAGTCTTTAACATTGAGCAATTTTTTTTTATTTTTTTTTCTTAGTTTTTCAAGATTCAAATTTTATGATTTAATCTACTATTACTAAAGAATTTTGATTATTTTTAATTTGATCTTTGACATCCCTAAAATAAAGGATACCTCATGTTGATATATTGAACAAAAAACAAATCTAAATTTCCAATCTTCGTTCCAAATTGCCCTGAATGTTTACATTTTTCAAGTGGGGAACTAGTACAATTTCTTCTGAATTTTCATGATTTCTCTTCTCTCTGAGTGGAAAACTTTGAGAAATTTAAAAGCAATGACATCGGTTAATTTACTTTTGACGAAATAAAATAGAAGTTGGATTTTTAAAATACAGCAAGTGACTTCCTATTTTTTTGGTATAATCATCACAAAATTATAATTCATGTAGGTCGAAGGGTGGTGACTTTCAGATTTATTTTTGAGTCACAAAATTTAAGAAGTCAATAGCGATAACTTTTCAATTTTCATAGACTATCATGTCGATGACTTTAGTGCAAATCCATGTAACTCCATTGCGGTGTCTCAAAAGTTTCCCTGCTATCTTATTTTTTCAAAGAAAAACAAGCTAACTTTATAGTTTAGAATTCATATAAAATAGTATGCCAATGGAGGAGAAAAAACAAGGAAGTTTCTAAGAAATTATGTCGTCTAGTTTACCAAAGAAATAATAAGGTCTGACAGGAAGTCTGCAGCAATGCAAACAAAGATAAGTGGTTTTGCACTTCAGCCATCGATGTTTCGTATAGTTTCAAGAATGCTCTCTTTGAAATTGCTCTTGAGGCCTTGAAATCGCTACTTTACTTGGTAGGCTCTGGATAAGTGCTCCTCTCAGATCAATTCTCGTTGATTCTTAACTGTATTTAATGCATCTGAAATCATTCAGACCACATGGTGTTCAAGTCATTTTTTAATGCTATCACACAGTAAAAGGCATTGTGTAAGATAGTCTGAGATTGCTTTCAGTGGGTGGAATACTGCTGAGTAATTTGCTAATGGAGCACATAATGGCATATTACTCGGACTACTTGCAATTCAGAACCACAATTTCTGGCTCAGTTTAGAAACAATGTATGTACCATCAGTTTCTCCATGTGCATAAGTGTTTTATGGATTAGCTAGAAATTGTAGCTCCTAATTGCGAAGTGAAGTTCACCTAGCCTACCGTGCCAAGGAAGAACGCCATATCAACTTCAGGCAGTGCCAAATTTCCATTGATAAAATACGACTTTAAAAAGAACGGAATACGGAAGTTGAAAATATTTTCAGACAAGTTTGTTTGCATTTTAGTCCAAAATGTCTGATAATGTAAAGGAAAAATATGCATAAATTTCCTCCAAAATACGTTATGCACCAGAGGAAATTTGGTAAAATTTGAATGTTCATCCAGCTTTCTTCCTCGGCAAGGTAGAGTTGGACCACGTTATGCAATTACAAACTAAAATTTCCGACTCAGTTTTAAACATCGTATTTACAATTAGTTTCCCTGTAGACTTATGTGTTTTTATGGGTGCGCTAGAAATTTTAGTTCCTAATGGCAAATTGTGGTCTAATTATCTCTGCCTATTTTACTCATGTATGAAATGGCGAGAAGTGCTCATAAAAGTTTTCGAATCTTTTCCATTCTTTCCCTCTTTTGAAGAGAGCTTACACCCATTTCCTTCCGTCTTCTTCCCCTTTCACCTACTCCTCTCTCTCTTTCCCTTTTCTTCACCACAGTTATTAAGATAATGAATTTCCTGCTATTTCCTATCGTCATTGTGCCTTTTGAGGGAAGGACAATACAATCTTTTTCGGCTGAGTGCTAACTTGATTCTCGCTCAAAGTGTGCTCTAGAAGTATCCTCTTCAGCGTAACCTGCCTTCAGATACTGCACTCAGTATTTCACTTTAATCAAATGTTTGCTCCTCTTCAAAGACTTTAGGTATTATCTCTCTTTTAAGTAGACTTTGAACTTTACAATGAACCAAGAAATGTATGGATCAATCAAATGCTCAACGAAGGAAAGTTCGGTGTTCTTCCTTTTGGTTTTTTCCCTAGCTCTATTTTTTCATTTTATTTCGTTGATAAACACTTCTCAAAATGTAAATTTTTCCTTGCAATCAAGAAGATAAGCTAATCAAATGTTATTTTGAAGCTTCGAGCTTAGCTTTTGCATGCTGTTGAGAAGTAATCATGCATCGTGGATGAGTTTGTTTAAATTTTGCTGACTGTAAAGAAAGGAAAATGGAAAGAATAAGAAATGACTGTTCTTATCATTGATCTAATTTCTCTTAGTTCTTCAAAATTTAATTATCTGTTTCAAAAGTGCTTGCCATGTTTTATTCAGATCATTGAAAAAAAAAGAAGAAAAATCAATCTCTGTCAATCTTCCAAGTAGGACAAAGAAAAATTAGTTTGCTCTATTTTTTTAATATTTGCTCCCGATGCTCAGGGAACTGAGTAAACTATCACAGTCAATTTTAAAAAGGAGCAATTGTACTTACCATTGGATAGAAAATTAATCCTGACAAAGAGGCTTATTATATTCTAGAATGTAATCTTTTCATTTTTCTGTAAATTTTCAATTTCCATTGCTTATTGTGTCACAATTAGATATAGAACACTTGAAATTGTTCCTCGAACATCGACGCTCTTTGAATACCCATATAATTATTTCTGTTTACCTCATGTAGAGATTACTATTTCTAGTTTGTGCTTGCTTTCTGTTAAAGAAATTCATCGATCGAAGCTCATATATTTAGGAATATTATTTTGACGGCGGATTTCTTTCACAGCAACCTTGGATGTAATTGCTAGAGTGTATATAATTTTCAGTGTGCACGCATTATGAAATGTATTATACCTGTATATTTTACATGTGAATCTATGTTTATTTTTCTATACTGATCCTGTAAATTTCTTGTTGTATCCTGTAGATACGGTTGTAAATTTTAAAGCAAAGCAAGGCTCTTGAACGAGTCCTATATTTTTATGTGGTCTGCGCTTTTTATCTAGTCGTTGAATTTCAATTTTTGGATCATAACTTTTACATGAGAGGATAAGAATCTCATTTCACATCATTTTTAGTGCTGTGGTCGTGAATGTATCAAAATCAGAAATTGAATTGAAAAATGGAAGCAGAGTTATTTCTGGAATTTATACTTTACCTACCGTGCTCATCATCAAAATTTTTGAAATGGTCATTATCTATCAGAAAGGGCACGAACCTTATTCTTTGTTAATTCTTTATTGAAATAGAATTACTCCTTTTTTGAGTGGCTTTGACTGATAAAGTTCAATCTTGCAATGATGTTCATCAATTAAGGTTACCCAATAGGCAATTGACCAGGTTCAGTGACTGCATTGGTGCTGATAGGAAACTTTCAGGTGAATTCCGTCATTTTTCAATCTGTATCTTTGTCGCACAATTTTTCATCTCTCGCATGAAGGAATTTGTCTTGTCTGCGCTGTTTCAGTATTTCTGCAAATTATTAATTTTCTCATGGGAGAACCGTCTCACAAATTTGTCTGAGAATGTTAAGGTCTTTTTTTAAAAGTATGAACAAAAATCTCTGGAAATTTTAGGCAAATCCATTTGATGACACATTTTAAAAAATTACAAAAACAAGTTAGACTTACTGATACAGCGCAATTGAGATTTATTCCTTTGTGCAGGAGAGGATGAATTATTGGAGGTTTTTGAGTTTAAATTGGACTAGAGCAAAATGTTGATCTGTAGAAAGTGAACAAGTGTCTTTAAACAGTATTAGATAGCAAATTTTTCAATTCAAATAACAAGGACTACAAGGAGGAAAGCACAGTAAGTAAAACTCTGATAGCAGTTTCAATCAATAAAATCGACATCTTGATTTGATTTCTTCAAAATAGTCTACTTAAAAAAAATCAAAAGCAAAAAAGTCTCAAGCAAAATTGTAAATTGAATATATTTTATTACATGTAAAAAAATCGTTCATTTCTCCTGAGCCCTTGTTAGGACTGTTCCTAGGGTCTTCCAAGTTATTTTCTTGATGCAAGGTCAATCATTTGAGGATGATGATTTTTTATCATGTGCTCAAAGTTTGTTGTCTCCTGCATGAAAGAACGTATCTCAGTTGCGTTGTTTCAGCATGTCTTACTAACATTCTATTTTTCACAGGAGAAGCGTCACATAAATTTGCCTAAAATTTTTTGTGACTTTTGTTTGCACTTATGAAAAAAACAGGACAGAGCGCAAACTAAATATGTTTCTATGCGCGGAAGACAACCGGTTGTTTGATTTTTAGCAGATTCACGATGAATCCTTTTATACTTTATCTAAATCCTTTTAAGTTTGATTAATATTTTATTTAACCACGGCTCTGAACAATTTTTATTGTAGTCACAATGGTGCAGTTATTACAGTCAAAGGCAGAAAAGGGGTAATTTTTGTTTTTAACGCAGCAATGAAGTTATATAATATGTACGTTTTAAATTATGATTTAATGTTTGACAAAGAAATGACTGTGAAAGATGAGGTTCAGCTCTCAGAAAAATTCCACTTCAAGCTATTATCTAAAAGAAAAGAATGCAAAATTTCATGTTTTCTATGGTTCTGTTAAAATATCTTGCCTTTTTTAGATGACTCATTAAGACTTTTATTTGATTTTTTTTTACCTGAATATTTTTATTGCTTTATTTTCTTCCAACATGTCCTGTTACTTTTTATTTGATTTCATATTTTTAAAAATCCAAAATTCAGTTGATATTTCTTGATCTGTTTACAATCAGTTTCATTGGTAAAGTTTATGACTTTTTTTTAGTTTGTTTTCATTCCGGAGTTTCAAGATCCTGTCATTCCAGTCGGCAATTTGCTCGTCTATTCTAACGTTTTGCGTTTTTCATTTGATTTTTTAATTCTATCCCTAATTCTTTGTTTTTTAATAGTTGGGTTAAACATATAATGAAAACTGTTATTGTGAGCAAGAGAATGTCAGATATTTTTACACTGTTTTTTTTTGTTTTTTGTTTTTTGTTTTTTTTCAAAGGAATCCCTCTTGTTATCAGAAAATTAATTTGTCATCTATTTTAAGTAACCACTCTTTTAACGTAATTTTAAAATTTCTGTAAATCAAAGTTTTCTTTCCTTTTTTTAAAAGGAAGAAAATTCATAGCAGGTGAACATTAATTCTCAGGGGGCTTCAAACATGATCAGTCTTCCAACAGATAAAAAGCATTTTAAATTTTTGGTACGAATCATTATTTGATTCAGAAAAAATGAAACCCACAAGCTTATTTTCATTACAATTTCTATTTCTGTTAGAAGAATGATCATGAGTTTGGTCCTTGGTGCTTTGTGACGAAAAATTCAAGTGTAAAATTTTCTGCATACCTTGCTAAGAAACTTTTTTTTATTTGTGACATTCCCCACAAAAAAGGGATCTTTTAGCTGGTCAGGCAAGATTTCAAGAGTGTAGTGTTTCTAATTGGGTAAAAAATGTTGCTCTAGTTTGTCATGAAGAAATCTCTCATGAAACCAAGGGTGAATTAATTCATTTTATTTCCTCCGCAGAGAGCTAAAGATCCATTTTAATCTGACTACATTGAAGTGAGAGTGTATCATGATAATTTATCGAGCGTTTTTAAACTATGTATTTAAACTACAAACCATTGTAACTTTTGCCAGTTTCACCATTCTGGGTATTTTATGTGCTAAAATGTTTGATATTTAAGTCTCAATTTCCACTTTTCGGGCAATTAACCCTTACCCTATTGAATATTTTAATATATTTATTTTCCATTTCATCAGCCCTCAATCATCTTCTCTCCAGATTGTTTGGAGTCTGAATGTAATTTAATAAAACGTCACCAATCGTATGAAGTATGATCAAAGGGATGTAAATTAGTCTTTCTTTACAAATTAAACCCTACCAAACCACCCTTTTCAAATTTCTGGTAGTTTTACATGAGAGGCAACTGTAAGTCTACTGTCTCTTAGAATGTCAAAACGATAATATTCGTTTTTTTGTCTTGCTTTCAAATGAATTAGTTGCTGTCCAAAAAAAAGTCGGAGCCTACATTACTGTGGTTCTTTCGGTGCTATACGGAACAGTTAAGAAATAAACTCGTTTAAGCTCATCAAATTAATGCTCAAGCTTACACCAAAAAATTCATGTCAAAAAGTAGTGAATAATTTTGCCATTTAAAAGGGAATTTGACAACACTGCATGAGAAGTGACATAGAAAATGAAAAAGCCTTCAAATCAATTCGCAACCAAGCTGTTTTTGTTCAACCAATTGTGAAATTCAATCAATCCCAGGTTGATGATTAGTTTTTGTGTTGTTGATTTAATGAAATTTGACACATTAGTATGTACGTAATCAGTAAAAGAGTTGATTTTCAAACTTTTCATCCTATGTTATATTTTTCCATACAATTTTGGATACATCACCAATCAAGCACTTCAATTCACAACTTGCCTGCGTATCATTTGCTGCTCAGCCTAATTTTATAAGTTTTAAAACAAAACCTCTTTATTTCTCTTCTCTTAATTTTAATTCCATCTCTCTCAAAGCATTTATGCCAAAGTGTTCGATTTATCGTGGAATCGCTGTTCCAATCATGAACTTTATATGACTTTTTTCGTCTCTGATCTTTCGGTAGTGTATAATAGCGTGTGTAAATTACTCAGTAAACGTTGTAATTAATTATTTTAAGAACAAGAAAAATAAATCCATAATGTACTTGAAAAATATCTGCTTCTCTCTTTCAATTACAGCCACTACACACAACTACAGTCAATTACAGAAAAGGATGCTGTTTTCCTGGAAGTATAATGGCACTTTCTTTTGTATTTTCATAAGTGTTCTCAGGGTTTCACCCACACAGAATGGTATGGATACAGTGTTAAAAGTGTGATTCTTGTGAGGTGAAAGGGAAAATGTAAATATTTTCCATGATAAGGAGAGATGTTCTGGATTTTTGTAACAAAAAAAAAATTAATTTCTGTATGTAGTTCAACATATCTATGGCTTAAGTGGGAAACCACGTACCTCCATTTACTGCGTTGCAGACTTATTGTGGTACATATTTTTTTCTTTGGAAAGCTAGTCAACTTATTTTCTCGAAAACCTCCTTGATTTTTCTTCCCTGTTCGCAGATTATTTATCCTGTATAAATTTTTGGAGTCTACCAGAAGAAACCAGGATTCATCAGGGAATGAAATTATTTCAAGGAAAATCGGGGAATCTTAAAACCAGGAATTTCCTATTCTAAAGTTCAGGGACCAATCTCTCCCCTGTCCCCTGGAACCACTTTTCATTTCTTCACAAATCCATGGGGTCGGGGGCTCTCACTTAGGGTCAATTTTAATTTTTAAAATTTTGGTGCTGGTCGATTTTCCATAATGATGAAAATGTACCGATTTCTTCAACCAGAAAAATGCAAATATCTCTTAAACCATTGACTGTAGAGCAAAATGGACCACTTATCCAGCTTCTCTGGGCTCATGTGATTACTGTTGCACCCCCCCAGTCTTATTTTGATGCTTGATTCTTGTGGATTTGCTACAAACCAAGGACTTGGAGGACAAGGTGCATAAATGCAGTTTTTGAACAAATTGAGATGTTAATGATTTCAAGTAAAACTAGTCTTGATGCATATTCTGTGAAAAATTCGCCCCCAAATTCGAATTTTCAAGCATCAAAAAGTCAGTTTGAACTTTCTTTCCACCATGAGGATCCATGTAATTTTGAAACTTCTAACACGCATTTCACAAAAAAGCAAGAGCTGCACCCATGCACCTTGTCCTCAAAGCCCCTCAAATTATAAGATCTGTCCAAATCGCTACTTTCTACGTTCAATATTATCCGAAATATTGCGCTTTGAAAAATTCGGTCCATGACGTCATCCACCAAGGTAGTGACACCCTTGGTTTCCTCCACTTTGCTACCATCCAAGTTTCTTGTTGGGTAACCAGTGCAAATGTGTGTTTTCCTGACTAATGAAAGCAAGGTGGAAGGAACCATAGGTATCAATACCACAGTGGCTGAAGTCCATAACTGAATTTTTCAAAGTGCGGTACCTCGGTTGATACTGAGTGTAGAAAGTTGGGATTTGGACTGACCTTATTATTTTTAGCTAATCTACAAAAACTAAGAATTGAAACAAGATTCTGTGTCCAGCACAACCGACCCATTCTGCATAGTTCCGAGGCTTCCCGCGGATTCCCAAGCTTAGAAACTGGTGTTTTTGACCATTTTTGATTATTTATATGCATGTCTTATTCGCTGATTCTGAGAACCACTGGACTCGTGGAGTAGGTGGCGAAATTTCATGAAAAATGAAATCTTGTAATTTCACATAAAATATTTCATGAAATTTCAGAACTTTATGAAAGATAATGAAAAAAACCCATTCCTTTTCATGTTTAGCACAATGTAAAAATAGTGACTTTCTTTTGTTTTCGTTTGCTTGAGTGCAAGTTGGATACTCTGACTCTGACTTGACTGAAATCTCGAAATTTTTTTCTCAGTCCAAAATCGAGAAAAATCCACAGGGGTTACATGGACTAAATTTTTAGCGTCGAAATTGAAAATTCGCCGACCGGGCTGAAACCAAGTATGATCGCTTGAAAATGATCCGCTCAGTGCGATTTTTCAGTCGGAAAAGCTCCGCGAATCCCTCGCATCGAGATATCCGCTGAAAACGCTCCAGAGAAAGAGTGAAAAAGTGGTCAGAAAAGCTCGTTTTTGACCAGTTTTGACTGTTTCTCGGCACAGGAAGCCTCGCCGAGAGTCGAGACCGTACGGAATCGATTCTACGCCTCCAACTACGTAGGATGCGACTGAAATCTCGACATTTTTTTCTCAGTCCAAAATGGAGAAAAATCCACAGGGGTTACACGGACTAAATTTTTAGCGTCGGAATTGAAAATTCGCCGATCGGGCTAAAACCAAGTAAGCTCGCTTGAAAATAACCCGCTGAGTGCGATCTTTCAGTCGGAAAAGCTCCGCGAGTCCCTCGCATCGAGATATCCGCTGAAAAGGCTCCAGAGAAAGAGTCAAAAAGTGGTCAGAATAGCTCGCTTTTGACCAGTTTTTTCCTGTTTCTCGGCACAGGAAGCCTCGCCGAGAGTCGAGACCGTACGGAATCGATTCTACGCCTCCAACTACGTAGGATGCGACTGAAAACTCGAAATTTTTTTCTCTGTCCAAAATCGAGAAAAATCCACAGGGGTTACATGGACTAAATTTTTAGCGTCGAAATTGAAAATTCGCCGATCGGGCTGAAACTAAGAGAGCTCGTTTGAAATAACCCGCTGAGTGCGATTTTTCAGTCGGAAAAGCTCCGCGAGTCCCTCGCATCGAGATATCCGCTTAAAACGCTCTAGAGAACGAGTCAAAAAGTGGTCAGAAAAGCTCGTTTTTGACCAGATTTTGACTGTTTCTCGGCTTCGGAAGTCTCGCCGAGAGTCGGAACTGTGCGGAATCGATTCTACGCCTCCAACTACGTAGGATCCGACTGTAATCTCGAATTTTTTTTCTCAGTCCAAAATCGAGAAAAATTGTCATGGGTTCCATGGACTGAATTTTTCGGGTCAAAATCGAAAGTTCGCCCATCGGGCCAAAACCAAGTAAGCTCGCTTGGAATTGACTCGCTGAGTGGGATTTTCTAGTCGGTTCCAGAGGGGAGACGGAATTAGCTATTTTTGCATCAAGCTCTTTTAGTCCATGAAACCCCAGTCGATTTTTCCCGATTCATTCCGATGAATGAAAATAATCAGAGATTAGTATCAAATCCCATGTAGGTACTTGGAGGCGTAGAATCGATTCCGCGTGGTCCTGAGGCTCGCCGGAGCTTCCTGAACCAGTAAAAAACGAGTGTTAATTTCTGGAAGTTTCGGGCATGGTCGAATATCCGCGGTTATCCGCGATTGTCAAGTCTGATCGACTCGTGAAGCATTTTGGATCGGAAATTCGGACTCCTCGACTCATTTTATGGGGGACGAGCTTCATTTCAGCCCGATCTGAGAACTTTCGATTTTGACCCGAAAAGTAAAACCTGCATGGTTACCCGACAAACACAAAATTTCAACAACGAAGCTGCTGGGAGTAAGGTAAGTCTCTAAAGTACAGGAAATCTAAGTAGTCCTTGAACAATGAACTTTTTTACAGGTTTGTAGAATGTTTTGGGATTTTGCAGTGCTTCCGCAGGGCCGGATTTATACCCACTTGCCGCCCGTGGGCCGCCCCCTTTTCATTCGTTTTGAAATATCAATACAAACCATCAAGTGAACAAGCCGGAGTAGGAGGGGTGCATAAGACGTGTTTATTCGTCTTGGGCACATTTTTTTCAAAGCCCTGTCAACACTAGCCAAAGTTCACGGAACATAGCGCAAAAGTTAAGTTCCGTAAACCTTTCTCTGTGTGGTCCAGGCCTTCCATTTATTAGAAATGAACGAAAAAATTATGAAAGAATAAATATGAATGTGGTTTAATAATTTTAATTTCCGCCACCGCGCTAACCGGACTGTTTTTGACGAAATGCATTAAGTATTCATGCAGTCTTGTAGGCACTATGAGTCTCACGCCAACCGCTGCTGACCGCACTGCGTTTGACGCAATGCGTGAAGTATTCGGGGAGTCTTGAAGGCGCTAAATGTGTTTCATGCTGACTGGCGCGGCGCGCGAAGGGCTTCTCCTTTTCAACTCAAATCCTCGTCATCATTGCTCTTTGCGCCGCGTCGCTCCAGGCCAAACTGCGTGTTTGGTTTCTCTCTCAACTATACCAATGAAAGGCGCTGTCTCTTGTATCGCTGAAAGACGAACAAATTCAACGCAAAAAATTCATTACTATATGTATACTTTAACTCTCAGGAAATGAGAGATTTTGACGCCTTTTCTCGTTTTTCATTTTTTTTTCTGCCTCCGTTTTTTTTTATACCTAAATTTGAAAATTTGCAAAATTTGCCGCCCCCTAAAATTGCCGCCATGGGCCGCGGCCCATGTGACCACCCCTTAAATCCGGCCCTGGATTAGGGGCTGGGAAGGAACATTTTGACGATGAAAAACTCCTAAGCCACGTACATCGTTTGCGGTATTCAAAAATCTCCGCTCCCATTTTACTTTTTGGCGGAGAGCAGAGCAATTTCATTCCTTGGATTTTCCACACAGTTTTCTTCACGCAGACGAAAAATCCCGGGGTTTTAAAAAATTGACGTTGAATGGTTTTCATGATAAAATAATGTATGACAGGAAGTCTGCAACGTTGCAAACTGAGATACGTGGCCTCGTAGTTTCACCGTCTATTTGGATTCATTACCACGCAGATCGATGTTAATGTCAACCTGCGATAACTATGAGAGATGAACAAATTTTCACTTTGTGTGCGTCGTATTTCCATCTTTTTAATCCATGAAATCGAAAAAAAAAAAAAAACATTTACCATCCAATTTTAGTTGTTACAGAGAGGTTACTTGTTGGCAGCCCATGTTTTGCCATTACGCATAAAATCGGCCACGTTTAATAGAGATACATCTAGTCGCTTTCAGTTTGAATCAGGTTTCAGGTTTGAAGTTTCATTTATTCATAAAATTTAGGTAATGTTAAATGTGAAGTTTAACGTGCTTTCATGCTTAAAAATGTTTTCTCGACTTTGAATTGTAGCCAGGACACGATGCAAGACTAATTGTATTAAACTACTTCAAACTCTTCTCTTTTCAAAATGCGGCATGGTAACTGGTAAGTTCCTG